TACGTTTCATATAGCTTTGGGGAATATATAAGCCAACGTCACTCAAAATGCGCGTATGGAAAAACTAAACATGTCGTATGTTTGTTGAATAAACGCTACATTTCCTTTAGCTTTCGGGAACATATAAGCAAACGTCACTTAAAGAACTCGTAAGGTAAGATTAAAAACGTCGTATGTTTGTTGAATAAACGCAACGTTTCATAGAGTTTTTGGGAATATATAAGCAGACGTCACTTAAAATGTGCGTATTGAAAGATTAAACACGCCTTATTGTTGTTGAATAAACGCTATATTTCATATAGCTTTTGGGAATATACGAGTATAAGCTAAAGGGGGGAGGTTCTCCCCCCGTTCGCTTAAAGTGTGCGTAGAGAAAGATTAAACACGTCGTTTATTTGTTAAATAAACGCTACCTTTCATATAGTTTTTGTTAACATATAAGCTAAAGGGAGGAGATACCTCCCCGTTCACTTAAAATACCCGTAGGGAAAGATATAACACAGCGCATGTTTGCTGAACAAAAACCCGCTACATATCATCCATAGCTTTTGGAAACATATCAATTAAACTGCGCGTTGAGGAAGATTAAACACGTCGTATTGTCACCGTATTGTTGTTGAATAAACGCTACATTTCATATTGTTTTCGGGATCATATAAGCTAAAGGGGGGAGGTTCTCCCTCCGTTCACTTAAAGCGTGCGTAGAGAAAGATTAAACGCGTCGTTTATTTGTTGAATAAACGCTATAGCTACCTTTCATATTGTTTTCGTGAACATATAAGCTAAAGGGGAGAGGTTCTCCCTCCGTTGTTGAATAAACGCTATATTTCATATAGCTTTTGGGAATATATAAGCTAAAGGGGGGAGGTTCTCCCCCCGTTCGCTTAAAGTGTGCGTAGAGAAAGATTAAACGCGTCGTATATTTGTTAAATAAACGTACCTTTCATATAGTTTTTGTGAAAATATAAGCTAAAGGGAGGAGTTACCTCCCCGTTCACTTAGAATACCAGTAGGGAAAGATTAAACACGTCGTATGTTTGTTGAAAAAAAAAACGTTACATATCATCTATAGCTTTTGGAAACATATCACTTAAAATGCACGTTGGGAAAGATTAAACACGTCGTATTGTCGCTGTATTGTTGTTGAATAAACGCTACATTTCATATTGTTTTCGGGAGCATATAAGCTAAAGGGGGGAGGTTTTCCCCCCGTTCGCTTAAAGCGTGCGTAGAGAAAGATTAAACGCGTCGTATATTTGTTGAATAAATGCTAGCTTTCATATAACTTTTGGGAACATATAAGCTAAAGAGGGAAAGTCTGCCCACCGTACACTGAAAGTGTGCGGAGAGGAGGATTAAACACATCATATGTTTGTTGGTAAGCTATGAAAACATTTTGGTAAGCTATGAAAACATTTTTATATTTGCGTGCACCAAGGTCTGCTACAACTCATGTCAGGCGTTGAAACAGAGTTCTAGGCGCAGGCTCTCGATAATTTACGCGGCGTCTTTTCCGTCTTGCTTTAAATTGTGAGTAGAAAAAAATTAAAAATATACCTGATTGATTTACTCATGTTTCAAATTTGACTTAAGTTTTGAAACAGAAATACAAAACATTTCCTGTACCTTTCTGGGACATGTTCAACATGTTTGTCGTAACTGAATATTTCAGTATCTGTAAACCGTGCGTAAAGAAACATGCCGTAATACGTTACATTTACAACTGCGAAAATCCTTCGTAAAGATTAGATTTCTTTTTCAGTACACTTTAATCGATCTTAAAGTCTGCTTAAATATTTCCCTGTCTTTAAAGTCTCAATACGGATGTCGTAAATTTTGCTTAAATATCTGTTTTCGTGCTGTGTTTATTGACGAGGAGTTGAAACAAGTTTGGCAAACAACATTACAGTAAATTATGTGCAGTCAAAGCTTAAGAATTGTTCAAACCATCTTTTAGAAGTCATCTAAAGATCTCTCTTATATATCTCCAAACTGCTGTTAATCATTTATACTTCAAAGTACATCCCTTTGCCTTACAACTGCTGAGTACATGTTGGATAAAAAAACGTTGTTGAGAAACAAACACGTCATCAGTGTATACACTACAAAGCAAACTTGTGCTAAGCTTCACTTCAAATATTTAGTGTCATTTAGCTTAGTCCAAACAAATATGTTTTTCACGATATGTCATCATATAAAATTGTGGGAGAAATAATTGGTACAATCATTTTAATTACAATGTATTAAAATACAACAATATATTTTTTACAACAACAATACAACAATATATTTTTCACAATATGGCACCATATAAAATTGTGGGAGAAATGAGTGGTACTTATTAATCATTACTTATTAAAGGAAACTTTCTAATAAACACTGTTGTTTAAACATTAAACATGTTACTATAAAATTATTGTGACCGATTCATTGAGCTTCATAATGTTACAGTTTAGTAGTGACCACTATGGGGGTACTAAATTGCACAGTTACAATAAATGTATAAATTAATAATTAGGATGTTAATTTTCATTTTATACCATTTTGGGCTATGTTCAATAGTCGTTGCCATACATTGCACCATGTACGCTTGCCAAGTTATTCATATAAACCACTATAATCACTAACATCACTCATAACATGTAAAATGTAACACATTGCGTTCAACAATTATTATACATATTACTATAATGCAAGTTTTTGAGAATTTTTTTTTAAGTTACATGGGTAACTGACCGGCCACATATACTAATGGAATTTGAACAACATGTATTTTAGTAAAGTTTACTCATCACTAGAATAATTCAAATACCATAACACTCAAGCATCAGTACATAGTACTTACCAACAGCAAATGCATTATATTTTTACAAATTTCCTACATTATTCATTAGGGGTTGCCTGTGCTGAACAAGCGCCTTGTCTGATCGTGACTACTAGTTATTTTCATACTGCTTGCTCCCTGACTGTCTAATTATGATCATTGGTAATTATTTTAGACTGTTGGCTCATTTTTTGTCTGTGTTTTTACACCTTCATATATAGGGTTTGGCTGTAAGGCAGCTAGCAATTCATCGCCCGATAGTAGTGGTAGGTTTGCAATATCAACGGATTCAGTGATTGCCTGAGACTGGCCCTGCCCTGTCTGATCATCACCACTGGCCACTACAGTAGCTGTGGTGTTTGTGTTGGATTCAGTGTTAGCCTGAGACTGACCCTGCCCTGCCTGATCATCACCACTGGCCATTACAGTAGCTGTGGTGTTTGTGTTGGATTCAGTGATTGCCTGAGACTGACCCTGTCCTGTCTGATCATGACCACTGGCCACTACAGTAGCTGTGGTGTTTGTGTTGGATTCAGTGACCATTGGCTCATTTTTCTGTGTTTTTACACCTTCATACATAGCATTTGGCTGTAGGGCAGCTAGTAGCTCATCAACTGATACCGGTGGTAGGTTTCTAATACCAAAGGATTCTGTTGTGCCTTGAAGCTGACCAATGTCACTGGTCACTACAGTAGCTGTGGTGTTTGTGTTGGATTCAGTGATGGCCTGGGACTGACCCTGCCCTGCCTGATCATGACCACTGGCCACTACAGTAGCTGTGGTGTTTGTGTTGAATTTAGTGATGGTCTGAGACTGACCCTGCCCTCTCTGATCATGCTGGTCACCATTATCATACTGGTGATCATCACCACTGGCCATTACAATATCTGTGGTGTTTGTGTTGGATTCAGTGATGGCCTGAGACTGACCCTGCCCTGTCTGATTATATTGACGATCTATATCTTCATACTTGTGATCATGGCTACTAGTTGTTTCAACAGCCGTGAGGTTTGTGTTGTGCGAACCAGGGTTGGGATTCGAACCTGATTTTGAATTCCTTACCCACCATATTGCGAACATGACAACAGCAACAGATAACACTGAACCAACAACAGCTGCAATAGCAACAGGCACTATGGGAAAGCTGGGGCCAGATTTTAAACAACTACCAGTGACGGCAAGAGCTGATGAAGTTGTTAGCCCTTTCCCTCCAATATCAACTGGTAAGTCAACATGGCGTTTGAAGTGCCAGTGATAGTGAGAGGTGGTGGTACCATCATGATTATTATTTGCTCTTTTCAATGGATGGTCTATAGTATATGCTGTTGGGCTTACACTGTTTTCTGTATTACCCAATGATGATGTTGTCACTGCAGATGAACTCAATGAGTTTTGAGCATAGACAGGTATTGTTGATTTGGTTGGGTCTTTGCAGATCAGATCTTTGCGACTTAAATCATTAAGTTTTTTTCCTGAAAGTTTGGCAGGTTGGGCACAAGTTATTTGGTTTAGAACTGCAGGAGTTTCATTCAGCTTTTGCCAAACGGGAGTCATCTTACAGTCACACTGCCACGGGTTTTGACGAATATCTAACCTAGGAATAGATGTCATCATGTCATTGACGTCTGGGGGAATGACAGATAGCTGGTTTGACCGGAGGTACAAAATTTGGAGCTTAGGTAGATTTGAAAGCGTACCAGGATGGATGTTCCTTAGCTTGTTTGAGTTCAGTTGCAAATTTTTGAGGCAAGGCAGATTTGAAAGTGCACCGACCTCAATGCTGGATATCTTGTTGCCGGAAAGCCGCAAACTGTAGATCTTGGGTAGATTAGAGAATGTGCTAGCCTGAATGCTGTTTAAGTTGTTGTCGTCCAGGTTCAATTCTGTAAGTTTGGGTAAATTTGAGATTGCGCCAACCTGAATGCTGTTGATGTTGTTCAGGTACAGGTGCAAATTCTCTAGCGTAGTTAGATTTGAGAATATGCCAACCTGAATACTGGTTAAGTTGTTGGAGTTCAGATACACATATGAAATCTGATCTAGAGTTGAGAATGTCCCTGGCTGTACATAAGTTATTTGGTTAGAGCACAGGTACAGATATTTTAGTTTGGGTAGATCTGAGAACGTACCATTTTGAATGCTGGTAATCTTGTTGGAATCTAAATACAATTTCGTAAGCCGGGGTAAGTCTGAGAATGCGCCAACCTGAATGTTGGTTATCTTGTTGGAGTTCAGGAACAAAAGTATGAGATTTGGTAGATTTGAGAATGCGCCAACCTGAATGCTGGATATTTGGTTGGATGTAAGGTTCACCCAGAGGAGCTGGTGAAGATTTGAAAAGGTAGCCAACCTGAATACTGGTTAAGTTGTTGGAGTTCAGATACACATATGAAATCTGATCTAGAGTTGAGAATGTCCCTGGCTGTACATAAGTTATTTGGTTAGAGCACAGGTACAGATATTTAGTTTGGGTAGATCTGAGACGTACCATTTGAATGCTGGTAATCTTGTTGGAATCTAAATACAATTTCGTAAGCCGGGGTAAGTCTGAGAATGCGCCAACCTGAATGTTGGTTATCTTGTTGGAGTTCAGGAACAAAAGTATGAGATTTGGTAGATTTGAGAATGCGCCAACCTGAATGCTGGATATTTGGTTGGATGTAAGGTTCACCCAGAGGAGCTGGTGAAGATTTGAAAAGGTGCCAACCTGAATACTTGCTATTTGGTTTGAGTCAAGACTCAACGTCTCGAGTTGCCGTAGATTTGAGAGTGTGCCAGCCTGAATGCTCTTAATACGGTTCGAGGTCAGCCACAAATACTTTAGCTTTGTTAAATGTGAGAATGCATCCCTCTGAATGTTGGTTAAGTTGTTGGAGCTCAGGTTCAAATTTGTGAGCCTGCGTAGATTTGTGAACACACCAGAGTGAATACTAGTGATCTGGTTATCTTTCAAACTTAAACAGGTGATGGAATATGCGTATCGGAGGTTCTGGGGGATCTGGGTGAGGCCCCTGTTTTGGCATCTGCATCGTGATGATTGTCCACAGTTACAGTTACCTTCTGGCGTGTTGGGCTCCTTCAGGATGAGGAGCAGGAAAATCAGAAGGTGTCGCAGCTTCCTTCCCATGTCGTCCTGTAGTCTGCACAGAACAGGCAGAAGGAAGGAATTGGATTTGAAGAATGGCAATAGGTGATGGCAGACGAACACCGTTTATACCTTTTTGGATATTGGAGTTAAAACTTTTAGGTTGCAACACATAAAAGTTCTACTCACCTAGAGCTTTCGACCAGTCATTCTGGTCTTGTAAAGTAGACTGACCCAGTGAAGCATGTCACGTGGCTTCTTTGAACCTTTTTGGATGTTTCAGAAACACACAGACACACTAGCATACAGACATGCCCACTTGGCAGACAATAGACCATAGCGAGATTCCTTCTCTTTGATTTATTTTATTTTATTCACATGTATTTTTTTAGAGAATTGGGCAAAACGTATACATACTTATTGGGGCCCTGTCCTCTCCACATATACAGATAAAAATAACATCAACGAAACAAAAACAATGTAACTATCCTCTTTATCATATTTATGTCTCTGGAACCACAAATAGCAAATACAGCAACTGGAGGGGGCGTATAGTACACACAGTGTCACTAAGTCATCCAAAAGAGGTGGTTTAGACCAGATAGTGCCTAGAAACTATCTGGGTACATTTATGCCTTGGATACATGCTACCAATTATACGTACATTATATGCAAAGTATTTCATTGCCCTACACGAGTTGGATTTTTAATATCAATATTAATATACTGGAACGCAATACAGAAATATATTATGTAGAAACGCTAACATGAATAAATGCTGACAGAAAAATGCTTTGCTCCATTTTATAAGAAATAATGCTGTTTGTAAATAATTTTTCAACACAGAGCCATTTTAAGGCCACATTGTTCTAAGTCTTTGCAGGACTATCTGCATATTAGCCTTGGAAAATGGTAATTTCTTTTTTCAAATGGTACAAACCAGCGGGGCCAGAAGCAATGGGCTCTAAATTCGTATTAAATCAACATTTTTTTCTGAAGAAAATTATCATTAAACCACAAACATAATTTTATCGATATATATTCATATCAAAACCATAACATCTTTAAAGAAATGATAAAAAAACAAGGTTTGGAAACACTCCTACGTCTTATGTTTAGTCTTACTTATAAACGCAAGCCTGGTTAATTGTCTGATTCGACATATTGAATATTCATGTTTAGCAGGTTGTTTACTCTCTCAGTGGTGCGTTTTGCTGACGTGTCATTTTAAGACAATTTTTACATTTTTAATGAGTCAGATGTGGCAAAAGTTGCAAAAAAACATGAATTTCCTTTTTTTTGCTTGAATATGTCCACCTTGTGGTACATGTAGACATACATTTTGAAATGCATCATAAATATTGTACTATGACATGCCGCACCCTTTGATATTGTTTTAGTAAGAAACAAGTTTTATTACATCTATACCTGTACCTGTACCTATCCCCTTTCTCATACTGGAAGGTCGGGGACCACGAAAATATTTAGTGTTAGTTTCTTACAATACATTTGAACACAAAAATACTAGTAATTTTGCATGAGAAGCGATGTCTCTTGTATAGTTATTTGTGTACTATTCCAGCCTCACTTTTCCAGTGTATATACAGAAAAAATGATCTTACCTGAGTGTTCAATCAAAACTTACCTTTCTCGACACTCGGAATATCTTCAGTTCTCGGGCGATGAAGCCATGGCGGTCTTTTTTCTGTCTTCGTTCTGCAGATGCGAGCTCTGGGTGCCTGGTCCGTACTCAGCGGCAGTCTGACAAACAAGCCTTGAAAAATCTTACGCAATCTGGGTGTGTTGATTGTCTGAAGCTGGCTGTTTGAATATTAACATTAATGATAAATAATAACGGCTTGCTTGCCATTTGAAATCGCCTCGAAATTCCTTAACTGTAATTTTGCTGTTAGCTGCTATGGGGCACTTTTACCACATTGTGTTGATAAAAATTCACGGTTCTCGGTGGCAAATATGCAGATGTTGGCACATTGGCGCACCAAAGCCGTAGTGTTTTTTTGCACAAATTTACTAATAGACAGATTAGCCTAAGAGGCTCGGTGGGCGTCACTCCACCGTACAAGGAAGAAACTCGTGTAAAGTGCCTTTCCCAAGGGCACAACGTCGGGCCGCGGACATGATGAGCATCGAACCCGGGACCTATTGGTTCCGAGTCCAACGCTCTAATCGTTGCGCCAATAACGTCACGACATTATGTTGCTAATATTAATGCGATTCTACACGTTTCTATTGTGTTCATAATGTTAATGATAATGTTTAATAATAATAATAATAATAACACACTTGTTCATTTTCTTCAAGTTAGTTGTGATTGAGATAATTATACATTCCTACAGACGACCAAAAGCCTCCATAATTTGCCGTTAAGCATTTTCTTTATTGACGAGGAGTTGAAACAAGTTTGGCAAATAACATTACAGTAAATTATGTGCAGTCAAAGCTTAAGAATTGTTCAAACCATCTTTTAGAAGTCATCTAAAGATCTCTCTTAAATATCTCCAAACTGCTGTTAATCATTTATGGTTCAAAGTACATGCTTTTGCCTTACAACTGCTGAGTACATGTTGGATAAAAACGTTGTTGAGAAACAAACACGTCATCAGTGCACTAGAACACTAGAAAGAAAGCTTGTGCTTAATTAGCTTCACTTCAAATATTTAGTGTCATTTAGTGTCCAAACAAATATGTACGTCACAATATGTCACTATATGAAATTGCGGCTTAGTTTGCTATTAAAGGAATAGTTAGTTATTAAAGGAACCTTTCAATTTAACACTGACTGTTGTTTATACATGTTACTAAAAAGATTATTTGAGAAGATAATTGAGCTTCAAAATGTTACAGTTTTTTAGTGCCCCTTATCGTAAATTGCACTGTTACAATAAATATATAAACCACTTAATTGAAAATCGCTAGCATCACTTACAACATGTGACATATAACACCTTGCGTTAAAAAGTATCCATTTTACTATAATACAATCTTTTTAAGGAAATGAAGTCCTTTCAAGTTATATGGGTAAATCATCAGTCACACATACTACTGGAATTTGAACAACATGTATTTTAGTAAAGTTTACTCATCACTAGAATAATTCAAATACCATAACACACAAGCATCGGTACATAGTACTTACCAACAGCAAAGGCATTATATTTTTTTACAAATTTCCTACATTATTCATTAGATGGTTGCCTGTGCTAAACAATCGCCTTGTCTGCCCTTTGGTTATTTCCATACTGCTTGCTCCCTGACTGTCTAATCATGATCACTGGTCATTGTCATAGACCGTTGGCTTATTTTTTGTGTGATTTTACACCTTCATACATAGGGTTTGGCTCTAAGGCAGCTAGCAATGCATCGTCAGATAGTAGTGGTAGGTGTGCAATATCAACGGATTCAGTGATGGCCTGAGACTGACCCTGCCCTGTCTGATCATGACCACTGGCCACTACAGTAGCTGTGGTGTTTGTGTTGGATTCAGTGATGGCCCGAGACTGACCCTGCCCTGTCTGATCATCACCACTGGCCATTACAGTAGCTGTGGTGTTTGTGTTGGATTCAGTGATAGACTGACCCTGCCCTGTCTGATCTTGTAGGTTCATATTTTCATACTGGTGGTCTTCACCAGTGGTCACTGCAACAGCTGTAGTGTTTGTGTTGGATTCAGTGATGGTCTGAGACTGACCCTGCCCTGTCTGATCATGACCACTTGTCCCTATAGTAGCTGTGGTGTTTGTGTTGGATTCAGTGATGGCCTGAGACTGACTCTGCCCTGTCTGATATTGCTGGTCACTATTTTCATACTTATGATCATCACCACTGGCCATTACAACAGCTGTGGTGTTTGTGTTGGATTCAGTGATGGTCTGAGACTGACCCTGCCCTGTCTGATCATCACCACTTGTCCCTATAGTAGCTGTGGTGTTTGTGTTGGATTCAGCGATGGCCTGAGACTGACCCTGCCCTGTCTGATCATGCTGGTCATCATTTTCATACTGATGTTCATCACAACTGGCCATTACAGCAGCTGTGGTGTTTGTGTTGTGCAAACCAGGGTTGGAGTTCAAACCTGAATTCGAATTCCTCACCCACCATATTGAGAAAATGACAACAACAACAACAGATAGCACTGAACCAACGGCTGAAATGGCAACAGGTGGTATTAGAAAAAGGTGGCCAGATTTTGAAAAACTATCAGTGACGGCAAGACTTGATGAAGTTGTTAGCCGTTTCCCTCCAATTTCAACTGGTAAGTCAACATTGCGTTTGAAGTGCCAGTGATAGTGATAGGTGGTGGTACCATCATTATTATTTGCGCTTTGCAATGGATGGCCTATAGTATATGCTGTTAGGCTTACACTGTTTTCTGTATTTTCTGTAGAATCAACAGGTGGTGTTGATTTGGTTGGGTCTTTGCAGATCAGATCGTCGGGACTTAATTCTTTAAGTTCTTTTCCTGAAAGTTTGGCAGGTTGGGCACAAGTTATCTGATTTAGAACTGCAGGGGTCTCAGTCAGCTTTTGCCAAAAGGGAGCCATCTTACAGTCACACTGCCAGGGGTTGTGGCGAATCTGTAAGTCAGGAATAGATGTCATCATGTCATTGAAGTCTGGGGGAAGGGCAGATAGCTGGTTTGAATGGAGGTACAAAATTTGGAGCTTGGTCAGATTTGAAAGCGTACCAGGATGGATGTTCCATAGGTTGTTTGAGGCCAGTTGCAAATTTTTGAGGCAAGGCAGATTTGAAAGTGCACCAACCTCAATGCTTGATATCTCGTTGGCGGCAAGGTTCAAAACGCCGAGTTGGGGTAGGTTTGAGAATGTGCCAGCCTGAACGCTGGTTATGTTGTTTTCGTGCAGGTTCAATTCTCTAAGCTTGGGTAAATTTGAGATTGCGCCAACCTGAATGCTGTTTATGTTGTTCAGGTACAGGTGCAAATTCACTAGCTTAGTTAGATTTGAGAATATGCCAGCCTGAATACTGGTTAAGTTGTTGGAGTTCAGATACACATATGAAATCTGAGCTAGAGTTGAGAATGTCCCTGGCTGTACATAAGTTATTTGGTTAGAGCACAGGTACAGAGTTTTTAGTTTGGGTAGATCTGAGAATGTACCATTTTGAATGCTGGTTATGTTGTTGGAATTTAGATACAATTTCGTAAGCCGGGGTAAGTCTGAGAATACGCCAACCTGAATGTTGGTTATCTTGTTGCACTTCAGGCACAAACTTCTGAGCTCTGGTAAATTTGAAAATGAGCCAGATTGAATGCTCGATATTTGGTTTGAGTCAAGACGCAACGTCTTGAGCTGCCGTAGATTTGAGAATATGCCAACCTGAATGCTGGATATTTGGTTTGAGTCAAGACGCAACGTTCTGAGCTTCAATAGATTTGAGAGTGTGCCAGCCTGAATGCTGCTTATACGGTTCGAGTCCAGGTTCAATATTTCTAGCTTTCTTAGACTTGAGAATGCATTCCCCTGAATGCTGGTCAGGTTGTTGAAGCTAAGGCTCAAATATTCGAGCTTGCGTAGATTTGAGAACGCACCAGAGTGAATACTAGTGATCTGGTTATCTTTCAAACTTAACCAGGTGATGGAATATGGGTATCGGAAGTTCTGGGGGATCTGGGTGAGGCCCCTGCTTTGGCATCTGCAGTGTGATGATTGTCCACAGTCACAGTTACCTTCTGGCGTGTTGGGCTCCTTCAGGATGAGGAGCAGGAAAATCAGAAGGTGTCGCAGCTTCCTTCCCATGTCGTCCTGGAATCTGCACAGAACAGGCAGAAGGAAGGAATTGAATTTAAAGAATGGCAATACGTGATGGCAGACGAACACCCTTTATACCTTTTTTGCCACCGATCGTGTGCCATGGGGAAAGGCACTTTACACGAATTTCCTCACTTCACTCAGGTGTAAATGAGTATTGCATTGTCTTTCATGTTGGTGGGGGCAGTGAAATAAGTTGAAAAAAACGTGATTAAATGTTGGAATCTATAAAACAACATGGGATCTAAATACATATCAAATCAATTATTTTCGCAAACACCTCTAAAGAAAAATATCACAAAAATATTAATCACAATCTAGGTATGGTTAAAACTTCACATCAGTGAAAATGGATAAGCAAGGCTTAAAAGCCCTCTTGCACCATATGTTAAGTCACACTCATAAACACGTGTTTACTTAATTGTCTGGTTCGGGCTGTTTGAATATTCATGTTTAGCAGGTTGTTTACTACCTGATCTGGTGCGTTTGCTGACGTGTCATGTTAAGACATATTTTACATTTTCAGTGATTGTGGTATGGAAATATGAGAACAGAACATGATTTGCTTGAACATATCCAATTTTGCTTGAATATATTCACCTTGTGGTTCATACAGACATCAACTTTTAAATTTATCAGAAATATTGTATTATGGCATGTCGCACTTTTTGGTATGCTAGTATTTCAGGAAAAGAATAATATTTTACCACATTTCACTTAATGTTCACGAAGTACGGATGCCCTCAGAGCCAGATTCTTCCACCACATCAAATTTTGCATAAGAACCAAAATGAATGTCTCTTCTGTAAAAAATTGTCTACTATTCAAGTCTCTCTTCCCTCATGAGTGTAAAAAAAAGACTACGTCTTACCTAAGGGTCGATTCAAACCTTTTACGCCAGAAGAGTTTTAGTCAGAACCTACCAGGCTATGAAATCATGACGGAATTTTCTCAATCTTCTTGATGCCGTTGTGTCTCTCAGTTGGGAGCTCTGGGCAGCTGTTCCGTTCTCTCCAAGCAGAGGTTGTTGGAGAATGATCGTTAGCTTTTTATATATGGCCGTTTTTGTCGCTAATCCCACCACCCGTTGGTGGCCGGCGACCTTCTCTGGCTAATGGATACTGCCTGGTCAATTTGATACTGTCTTTTTGCCACAGAAAGGGATCTGCTTGGAGATTAGCTGTTCCGTACTGGAGTCTCACCAGCAATCTTGTTTTAAGTCCTTCTAACGTGGGCGTGTTGATTGTCTGAGACTAGCTGGTTGAATATTAACTTTAATTACCTTCGTCAGAAGGTTGTGTGTTTATGCTGAGGTCACATTTCCAAACCGGGGCCCGGCCGGGCTGCTTCGATTAACAAAAAATCAATAATTTACATCAATAATATACGCAAAGGGTTCCAATTATTAATTTTGCCGCCTTTTTGTGCTTTGTTGTCTTTTACATCATACTTTTCGTTTCATAATACTGCCCGGCCGGGCCCCGTTTTGGAAATGTGACCCAAGCATTAGCTATAGGTGCACCATATATAAGGCTGATTTTTTTATTGGTTATAACTCGGGGTGTGGTCATGTCTTGTATTTTCATGACATTTGGTATGTTGGGGCAACAAAGGTCAAGCTAAAATTTTGGGTACTTTGGGTAAATAAGATTTTACCTCTAGTTATAGTAATAATAATGGTTCGTTTGTTCCCTGGCATCGCGTTTAAATTCATTGGGTGCAGTTTTGTTGTCAGTTGCGATGGGGCAATTTTACTTCATGTTGATAATGTTACCAAGTATTGCCTGTTAACAAATAACGTTCGAAGTTCGAAGAGACAAGCGTTGGACAATAACATGCATCAATCGACAGGACTACATTTCTCATGATTCCTAGATTTAATCCATCATTTCTATCTCTGTACAAATTTCTTTGGAATAGAAAATAGATGTAAAGTATATACAAAGTATAGTCGACTTGCAGCAACAAAGCAACAAACAACAAGCCTCTTTTCTAGCTTTAAGTTATCCCTATTTCATTCCTTTGCACATCAATTTAGTTTCTTTCGACTGTCATAGCAACTGTTGTCAGCTCCACAGCAGAGTAACGCAGACGCCCAACACCAGAGTCAGCCAGGCGGTTGCCAAGGCGATCGTTGCCCGGGAGGCCGGAACGCCGTTGCAGCCGTTAGCGCCCCGGCAGCAGCGGTGGCAGACATACTGTCCGCCCTGCACCGAGCACTGTTCGTTCGGCACGCTCGACAACCCGTTGTTTAGGGCTTCACTGCTGCAGTCTTCGGGAGCTCTGCACCCTCGCCGGACATTCACGAGGTTTGTCGAGCCCTGCGATTCTCTCGTCGTCTCGAGCTGCATAAGGCGGGAAAGCAATGAAGACATTTATCATTGTCATCCACAACATCACCATCATTATCCTCACCTTCCTACTCCTCCTCATGAGGATGATGATCATGATCATGATCATGATGATAATGATGATGATGATGATGATGATGATGATCATCATCATCATGATCATGATCATCATCATCATCATCACCATCATCATCACCATCATCATCACCATCATCATGATCATCATCAGGATCATCATTATGATCATCATAATGATCATCATGATCATGATGATGATCATCATGATGATCATGATGATCATTATGATGATCATAATGATGATCCTGATGATGATCATGCTGATGATGATCATGATGATGATCATGATGATGATCATGATGATGATGATCATGATGATTATCATGATGATGATTGTCTACCAGATGGTTTAATGTGCCTTAGTAGCATGCCATGTGAATATAACTACGGACATGACTGAAAAACGATAGGAGAGGAGCAAACTTACGTAGCACCACTGCCCGATGCCGCAGGCTGCCGTACTGTCACCGCTCTGTTGAGTCTCCGCACAACTGGTGTTTCCACTACATTCATAGCACTGCAACGAAAGGGGAAAACGGTCACAGTTCTTCGAAAAACTGATAGACGTCGCGGCAGGCATGGCAGTAACTGCATGGCAGTTTTGGCCACTGTAATTATATAGAAGAGTGATTTACAGTGATTTTCTTTACCGTAGGAGAAATCCAGTCCAGGAAGTCAGTGACTTTACTGTAGACTCCCGGGCTCTGTTCCAGCGCGCACCCACCACCAAAACTCGTGACTCCCGCCAGGAACCAGGAGTCGTTACCGGGCTTCTGGCAAACGAACGGTCCGCCTAAGGAAATTAGAGACGTTTAGTTTGCACTC